TCGAAGGGCGGTGGGGTAGCCTCTTGGTTAACGTGTTCGCTCGTCACGCCGAAGACCCGGGTTCGATTCTCCACTTGGGTACAATGTGTGAAGCCCATTTTGTCCCCGCCCCCATGATATCCTCCGCTTCATTAAGACACGTAGGCCAGCTGGCCAGACTTAATGTGTCATAGGTAGATTATACAAGGAAGTAGTTTACCCTTATGGTGATTAAATAAATATAAACTTGAGTTACCTGACTACTTTAGCGCTGATATCTTTAGAGATACTGAAGTTAAAAATACACTTTTTTTAGATTAATTGTAATAGTGAAAATATGTACGTATGCCTTGACAATAATAGCTGAAACATGTATTCATTAAAGCACAATGGTTCAGTTATATCCCAATGCTGTCAACCCCCAAGCACCATAAGTTGATGTACAGAGTTGCCTCCCCCTGGCGTGTCAGGATCCGATGCTCGGGGAATTGAATCCTAGTTTCGACCTTATGATTATCCTTAACTTGTGCACACTATACCGTGCTGGTCGATTGAGCCTTAAGCCTATATGACATGCACTACTTTAATTTACGAAATTTACTCCACCTATGGAGTTGGGGTAGTTAACTCCCTTGGGTACATTTTAATAACATGTTTACATGACGGAATTGACCCCTCAGGGTATATTTTACTCCCGGATGTCAGTTACCCCCTTGGGTAAATGTGTGCATGTAAACCAGGCTTATGTGGTAAACGTCTTGGATGTGGGACACTTTGGGCTTTCCTCTCACCAGTAAGCTGACATCCCGTGAAATAATTTATATATTGGTCAAAGTGGCGTTAAACCCAACTCGCTCATTTTTTCAGTCGCATGCTTCCTTACGTCGGATTATTACTTTGATTCCACTCAGCGTTGATGAGTGAGTGAGTTGTGTTTGGCGCCGTTTTAACAGTATTCCAGTTATATCGCGGCGCGTCAGCTTAATGTGGGAGGAAAGCCCGAAGTGATGCAGGTCTCAGACGTTTACCACTTCGGTGAAACCCACGAGCACGGGTATGGTGCTGACAAACCTAGAAACATAATCAGGGCGAACCGGGATTCGAACCCACAATCATAGGTTTTTGGCGTGCCCAAGGGACGGCGCCTTAGACGACTGGGCCACCCGTGTCCCCCCCCCCCCCCCCCCCCACCCCCCCCCAGCGTTCATGAGATAAAGTACCGAATACAAAACCACATATATACATTTACAAATATTCGTGCGAAACTTTTAATGTGTCATTGAAAATCTGTTTTCGAAACAGTGAATGATTATTATTCTTTCTGTTCACATGTGCTATGTACATGAACATGTTTTTTAAAAAAACGCTCATTTTTTCTGAATTTGAAAAAAAATGTCTGCTGCCTGAAAAATATCCCCATACACGCAAATTTTTATTTGAATGAAATTATTCCGTTGAAACATTAAACATTTCCAATTACACTATTCGTTTTATTCTTTTAAAAAAGGACCAATTACAGAGTCTCTATGAAAGATCCAATATATATGTTGTACATGTGTGTGGTTTCATTCGAGGTCATGTAATAACTAAAATCTCCTTTAAAACACAATTTCATATCTCTGACAACCGTTTTGTATATTTGACAGAGAAAACGGAGACTCATTTTAACCGCACTATTATAGCGAAAATAACAAGACATCGTTCTAACAACAGTTTAATTTTGAGATACGATATCCTTAATCTCAATTTAACCATTAGCTTTATACAGGGCGTATAGTCGTACTCCAAATACGATAGCCGTGCACATTTACTGTTATTTATCTACCTGTCTGTCTGTTCAAACGGGAGCTCGAGACACGTGCCTTGCACGAGACTCGTGCATTGCACAGCTGTCTACAAGCCCTGCTGAGTAAATCGCACGGCTTGCAGCGGTATTAATGCGGATAATTCCCATTGTTTGAAATCGATTTATTTTACGTTTGAGTAAAACTGGCTGAATCTATTTGACAGTCCTGGAGTGCAGTGTTCCTCACAGCCCAGGCGGGAAGTTAGAAACAGGATATTAACAATGCAATGAAAATTATCTGATTGATGACACAATTCTGTCTCATTTTTCTGTTTTCGGAATATGATTAAGATTTAAGATATTTTAAAACAATTTTCTAAACAAAATATTTTTGAACAAGTTTACTGTCTTTACAGCTGCTTTTTAATGTTTTAGCATTGGAATACCGGAAACTCTTCTTTTAATTAAAAGTGATAGGTTTATGAAATGTGAGTATATGCATTGTATATGTGGTTTATCGATTCTCATCAACATAATTACGTGAATAGTCTAAAGTTTTAAGACGGCTGCACCATATTCTTCCGAACTACGGGGGGGAGGGGTAGCCTAGTTGTTAAAGCGTTCGCTCGTCACGCCGTAGATCTGGGTTCGATTCCCCACATGGGTACAATGTGTGAAGCCCATTTTTGGTGTCACCCGCCATGCTATTGATGGAATATTGCTAAAAGCGGCGTAAAACCATGCCCACTCACCCCCATCTAAAACACCACATAATATACATTTTATTTTATTCATTTTATTCCACAAAAATATGTAGCCTACGTGGAAAGTCGTTTGTATTTACTGTATATTTGGTTTTCATTTTAATACGAGCGTTCATGCATAAGACATTAACTGCCGGCAAGGTAGACACAATTTTATGGATAACACCTTTTTTAATACTGTAAATAAAAAAATATCCATAAAATTGTGTCTACCTTGTCATCCGTCAACTTCTAAGTAATGCCTGTAAAAACATTCATTAATTGCAGGGCAAAAAAGTATACACCCATGTTTGTTGGAGGCTAAAATAAAGCAAACAATACATGGTTATTCGATGGTGAGGTATTATATGCGGGTATTTTTGACCTGACGTCTTCAGTGTTTTGGCAATTTCAGCTTCGTAGCGTGTTGTTTGTTTGCTTGTTTGTTTGTTTGTTGTTTTACGCCGCACCCAGCAATATTCCACCTATATTACGGCGGTTTGCAAATAATCGAGTCTGGACCAACCAATCCAGTGATTGATATCATGAGCATCGATCCACGCAATTGGGATAGATGACATGCTTCAACGAAGTCAGCCAGCCTGACCACCCGAACCCGTTAGTGGCCTCTTACGACAAGCATAGTCGCCTTTTACGGCACGCATGGGTTGCTGAGGACCTATTCTATCCCGGATCTTCGTAACGTATTGATAACGGTTGTAATGTTTTGGTCAAATCCAGTTTTCAGTACATGTATATTCTTTCTTTTGCCCGGCATGTAAGTGTCGGTATATAACACAAGAGCATTTTTACTCAGCCGACGCGGATAATTTCTTACTCTTTCAACCCTTAGGGTTGAAAGGCCCGTGTTTTGTTTCCAAAATGGTAGATATTGTAGAAATATTGCTAAAAGCTGGAAAACCTCATTCAGTGTATATGTCTCGAGACACACATTCTGTTGAAACAATTTATTGAAAATATAAAAAATATCTAAACCTGTCTACATTTATTTTTTATAACATTAATAGGATCCATATTTTAGTAATAAATATTAATCAAGTGTATTTTCGACAAGAACACTATCACACAAATAATATACCCCAAATAAGAATAAATAAATAAAATAAAATAAAAACTTCGCTTTTGACATAAAAATATTCAAAAGAAATCAAACTGTTTTTAAATCTAATAACAACCGACTCATGTTCTGTGCAAGCAACCGACACGTGTATGACAACTCACTCAAACTCCACTCAATCGCAGCAATTTCCTGACCCCATAAAACTCAATATAATAAGCACACGACATTTCCCTGTTGGAAACACGGCCATCCATTAACTCCTTAATACGTGTTCTGTCAAGGTCCGAGTTGACGTCTTTGCGTCTCGAGTGGTTCCGATTGTCACGTGGAGAGGCGGTTGACAGATGTTTCACTCAGATTACACAATCTGTTTACCTCGACACCTTCCGTAGGGCGGAGACAACATAATCGGTCCGATTGCAAACCTCTGGGGGATAAAGACGCTGATCCTAATAGCCTCATAAAAATAATTTGCCATTTGTTTTTTTTAGATGATAGTTGTTTAATTTATCATTTTTATGTGTAAATCTAAAATCTAAAATTTAAAAATAACCAAATGGCAAATTATTTATATATATATATTTGTTAAGGATTACCGGGTGGGGGGAGGTGGAGGTGGAGGTGGAGGTGGTGGGGTGTGTGTGTGTTAAATTTCTCCTCCCATGACAAATGGCAAAGAAGTTAAATATCTATGTTTTTTTGTTCCATACATATTCAGCGATTTCATCATTGCTGTTGTCACCACAATTGTCATCATTATTACCACTACATTGCTGCCTTAAACCTCATTCTATTTTTATTTTATTTTTTGTTTGTTTGTTTATTTATTGTTTAAAGCCACACTCAGTAATATTCCAGCTATATGATGGCAATCTGTAAATAATCCAGCGTGGAACAGACAATCCTGTGATTGACATCATGGGGATACGATGACATGCATCAACCAAGTAAGCGAGCCTGACCAACCAATCGCGTTAGTCGCCATTTACGACAAGCATAGTCGCCTTTACGACAAGCATGGGTTGCTGAAGACCTATTCTATCTTCACGGGTCGTAGAATTATTCTACCCCGGGTCTTTACGGGTGATTTTTATATTCATGGTGTCGACACCACAATCTTTATAAACAAAATCACCACGAGCATTTATTACATTTACACAACTATTTTTTGTTGGTTTGTTGTTTAACGCCGCACTCAGCAATATTCTAGGTATGTGACGGCGGTCAGTACATAATAGAGTCTGGACCAGACAATCCATGACTGACATCATGAGCATCGATCCACGCAATTGGGATACAATGACATGCATCAACCAAGTCAGCATGAGATGCCGAAGACCTTTTACCACTAGGCTTCCCCAGCGCCCCAATAAACAAAGAACCAACCTCAACAAAGAAGATAAAATGAAAATCACTTATTTAAAACGTTTATTCATTCGGAACACCAATCACATGGAAGCGCCTCTGATGTTTCTTTCTTCATATTTTTCAAATACAGTAAACTACGGTTATAACGAACACGCTTATAACGAACTGACGGATATAACGAACTTACTTTTTGGTCCCGACTATTTGCTGTATTTATGCTGTATATATGCTTATAACGAACTACGGTTATAACGAACTAAAATTAGTAGTCCCTTTGAGTTCGTTATAACCGTAGTTTACTGTATATTTCAATGATGCACGTGAAGCTCCAACATTGGTCCTTTGTTGCGTGTCACCCACCACCAGGTGGCGTGCATAGTGGCGCCAATCCTGACGTAGTCGACACTCAATTAGGCCCTATGACACAGTCGACCATATAGTTCCAGCAGTCCACACTGGCGCTAAACGTATACGTGCTTCCGGGTATTGGCAAACTGTTGATGAAGCTGTACGACCTCATCACGAGGTTCACCGCCAACGTCTTTGTCCCCTTGCACGTCTGCATCGCCACCGTCCCACCTCGACGGTCCAGCAGGCCCAGAAAGTCCCCCCTCTGAAGATCGAACCTGTGATAGGAGTCGAATGTCCACGTAACAGCACGGCCCCCGATGCACGTCACGACGTTGCTACCGACGAGGGTGAAGTCGCGGGGTGCGCCGCTGTTTCTGGAAAATCAAATGTGGACGTTTTTGTGATAAACAGATTACTGCCGCGGTCTTGTATGGACATTTGCGGTGTTATATTGTACACGGACCAGAGTCTTTTCACGGATTAAACCCGATTGATGACATCAATCAACCAAGTCAGCGAGCCTGACCATGAGGCGACAAAGGGGATCGGGTGGTCAGGCTCGCTTACTTGGTAGATGGATGTCATCGTATCTCAACTGCGTAGATCGATGCCCATGCTGTTAATCACAGTCTGGCGCTCGGCATTAAGGGGATCAAACAAGGTCTGGTCGACTCGGAGTCAGTATACTGTGTCTGAGTGGGGTATTCATGTTAAATTGCGGCATGGTATCTCAGTGGGCTAGCACTATAAATCGGCATCAGTCCGGACTAGTACAAGCAGCCACACACACACACACACACACACGCGCACACACACGTGCATGCACGTCGCCATATAAGTGCAATAATCTTGGACGCGACGTTAAACCTAATTTCACCTCACCTTAATCATTTAGAGACCGCCGTCATATAGCTGGATTATTGCTGAGTGCGGCGTTAAACAACAAACAAACTCGCTTACATGACTATAACTCTATCGAAGTTGCATTAACCATAAGGAATGGCCGTTCTCAAAATGATCCGTGATATTATACGAACTATATATGTGGAGGGAACGGTCGTTATACGCTTCAAAGTGAAATCATGCCATATCGATACACCATGGCTGTCCGATGGAAATAACGCAATAACCGACTGGACCTGCATGGGTAAACCACCACGCTCTCATTCAGTACTTCCGGTAAGATGAGAGTTGTCTCCCTTACACTCGTCTCCAGAACTGTATAAAGATATCCCCATCCTTCCTGCAGTAGGCCCGGCAGGACTGCAGCTTGGCTGACCGGTCCGCGGAGAAGTAGGGGGAGGGGCCGGCCAGTGACGTCGCCCCGGGGGTGGCGGATCGGGTGTCGGTCACGTGGAAGTTATTCAGGTAGGTGTCAACGCTTTGTATGGCTGAAAATATACGAACATATTCCAAGTGAGCGAGTGTGGTTTTACGCCGCTTTTAGCAATATTCCAGCAATATCACGGCGGGGTACACCAGAAATGGGCTTCACTCATTGTACCCATGTTGGAATCGAACACGGGTCTTCGGCGTAACGAGCGAACACTTAACCACTACACCACCGCCCCGAACCTGCTCTTTACTTGAGATGTGTAATGTATAATAATATACAGTTCCATATTATTTTTTTTAAAGATTTGAAATTCATTTATTTTTCTGTTAAATGGTGTAGCATTTACGAAGTTACGTTACTGTACATCACGAAAAACAGATAATGCCTCAGGTGAAAGACAGTGTAGTATTTCTTGGATACAATCTTGTCGTTTCAGTAACTCTTATTAACACCCGTAGTCGTATAGCTGATAACTAGTTATATCTGCTAAGTGTTTCAAGTTAAGATGGGTCAAAGGAGCACGGAGTGAGTGAGTCGTTTTTTGACGCTGCGTTGAACCGCTTTTATAATATACGAGTAAAGGCCAAAGTGACGCAGGTCAGAGACAATTTATTATTATATTATCAATTATTACATTTTTTTGTGATAGCCACGATATTTTGATGCCAGTCTAAAAACAATATTATCGGGCGGTTCTGCGATTAGAACCAACTATCCCAGAGATCGTCGTAGCTTTAAGCGACGCAAGGCTGCACAGCGGATTATCTCCCCTTACAATCACGTACATACCCCAAAACAGGTTGCACATCAGTCCGATGTAGTCTCAAATTGTTGTTCACCATCATATTTTAGAAATAAATTAAAAAATGTCGAAACGATCTATAAAAAGACGAAATATGAAAATGAGAAGGATTCATTTACTACACTCACGGCCCGTGAAGATTCCGTGGTAGAATAGATCTTCAGCAACCCATGCTTGCCGTAAAAGGCGATTACGCTTGTCGTAAATGGCGACTAACGGGATCGGGTGGTCAGGCTCGCTGACTTGGTTGATGCATGTCATCGTATCCCAATTGCGTGGATCGATGCTCATAATGTCAATCACAGGATTGTCCTGTTCAGACTCGATTATTTACAGACCGCCGTCATGTAGCTCGAATATTGCAGAGTGCGGCATTAAACAATAAACAAACAAAACAAGCAATCTACACTCACGTGCACAAACCAGCTCAGTCCCAGTCAGCGTTCCGTTTGGGCGACACGCCCTGTACTGGTTTCCAGAAACACGCAGGCTGCCATTGTTACAGCTGTAAGTTACAAACTCGCCGGTTTTTAATAGGATTCTATCTATAGTTGTATTGGAACAGCACGGTTTCGGGACGCAGCAATAACCTGGAAACATATATGTGATCTGAACATAGCTCGTTAACAAAATATAATATAGTCCTATAAAGCCGCTGGGCCAAACATACACAGACATGACACGCGATGTAAAAAGTCCACATAATTGTAAACAAGGAAGGACAATTTTTATAGATGTTTACAATCTTGTAAAATCAACTACCAGCGGAAACCCACCATCAAGTTGCTGACAAACTGATTGTCATAATCGGAGCTATGTTGAAACCGAGTACCACTTCCTGCTTATTTGTCCATCGTATGTCAAGTTACGGCAACTATATCTCAAAGCAAAGTTCTATTGTCATCCTAACGTCCATAAATTTAATATGCTTCTGTCATCACCAGATACATATATTATTACAAATCTAGCAAAATATCTATATTATGCAAATGAAGTAAGAAATGCGAAACTGAAAGCTTAAAACCTGTCTGTACTCAACATTTGTACTCAAAGGCCTGTGGCCTATATGTATTGGAAATAAAATGAATGAATGAATCGGAGCTATTCTGGGATTCCAACCCACGATCAGCAGATCCTGTGATTACAAGGGACACAACTCTGCAAATAACAATTCGGCGCTTTAGACATCTCATGTTTTGGAGATGTTTGTACATTAGTAGGTTAATTAGTATTCACATTCTAAATACCTTGAATGAAAGGTTTTATATTTACTATCATCAATATTATTTTCTCTTGCATCGCCGTCATAATCATCATCAACATCATCATCAAGATCTTAGACACGACGATACCTGTACGCTCCACACATATTCATCGGTTTCATCATTGCTGTTGTCACCACAATTGTCATCATTATCACCACTACATTGCTGCCTTAAACCTGAAGGATTCTATTTTGATATTACCTTTTGTTTGTTTGTTAATTGTTTAACGCCACACTCAGTAATATTCCAGCTATGTGATGGCAATCTGTAAATAATCCAGCCTGGACGTGACAATCCAGTGATTAACATCATGAGCATCGATCCACGCTATTGGGATACGATGACATGCATCAACCAAGTCAGCGAGCCTGACCACCCGATCCCGTTAGTCGCCTCTTATGACAAGCATAGTCGCCTTTTACGGCAAGCATGGGTTGCTGAAGATCTATAATTCTACTCCGGATTCACCACGAGTATTTATTACATTTACATAACTACGAGTAACTCGCCATAAACTCATTCGTACCGTCACAATATTCATCCCCATCCTCATCTTCACGACTTACTGGTGTTGCACAAGCCCGCGGTGTAGGGACAGTATATCTCCGCATAGTGCTTCCGTTCCTGCGCAAACCGGGGATTCAGCGCAAGGCTCTCTTGACAGTTGTTCTTCCGGTCACCGCAGGAATCGGAGCCATTCATTTCTGCACAGACAAAATGACCGGTAATGTTTTGGCGAATCGAAAGAACGAAATGAGTGAAGTGGATCAATGTTGTTTTATACGGCAGTGAGAAGGTATTCCATCTACATCACTACGGAATGTAACTAACCTTTTTGGTTGGTTTGTTTGTTTGTTTTTTAACGCCGTACTCCGCAATATTGCAGCTACATGACGGCGGTCTGTAAATAATCGAGTCTGGACAAGACAATCCAGTGATTGATATCATGTGCATCGATCCACGCATGCATCACCCGAGCCCGTTAGTCGCCTCTTACGGCAAGCATAGGTTGCTGAAGACCTATTCTCCCCGGGTCTTCACGGGTCACTAGACTAGACAGGCCACAATGCACAGCTGTCCACGATGGGCGGTGATCAGCCACGTCACAGAACCTGACCACCACATACTAACGTACTGAATACCAATTCGTTCCCGGAACACAGCAGTCCTCCCACTCAACCCCATGAGAGTCAACGTGGTGGAGGTGGGGTGGGGTGGGGTGGGGAGGAGGGGTGGCTTGGGGGCCAGCACGAGAGAGTTTCCGGATAGACTGAGGACATCGCGTCGTTAAGACCCCGGAATAATAAGGTTTGTCTATAATGAGGTTCCAGTTTAATGAAGTTACATGAGTTCACAATGGTACCTAACAGCTTCAAGAACTACTGTCACATTGTACGTTGTGCGTGGGTGGAGATACCTACTTCTGAAGTCTACTTTACATAGGGCCCAGGCACTGAAGTTGTCTTTACGCGCTCTGGCCAGTCTGTTTTTGTTATTGTTGTTTTCAGGCAGGAGTACCGCCACATCGACGTCGTTTGTTCCTGGGATGCCGTTAGCTGAAGTTGGAAATGTTCATAGTGATTGAGCTACAACAAGGAGGTCAAAGACACAACATGTATGTTAAAGGACTCCATCGAACGATACCCGAAGGCTGGAAGACCTAAAGTAACACGTGACCTAAACGTCAGAATACAGTAAACTACGGTTATAACGAACACGCTTATAACGAACTGACGGATATAACGAACTTACTTTTTGGTCCCGACTATTTGCTGTATTTATGCTGTATATATGCTTATAACGAACTAAAATTAGTAGTCCCTTTGAGTTCGTTATAAACGTAGTTTACTGTAGATCTCGTTTTTTGCACACCACACCAGTGTTAAAACTACCACCCAGGACTAACAGTAGACAAAAACAACATTCACGCTGAAATGTAGCCGGATAAAATAAACCTTGTTGTGGCATAATTAGCGCTTGGGATGATCGATTGATTATTACCTTTAAATGGTGGTGTTTGCGTCAGAAGGGAAAGCTCTTAGTTCAGTCTGATGCAGCTGATTGTCAGATGATATTTCCTACATGAGTGAGTGAGTGAGTGAGTATGGTTTTACGCCGCTTTTAGCAATATTCCAGCAATATCACGGCGGGTGACACCACAAATGGGCTTCACACATTGTACCCATGTCGGGAATCGAACCCGGGTCTTCGGCGTGACGAGCGAACGCTTTAACCACTAGGCTACCCGACCGCCCCATTTCCTACATGATGGTAAATCAGACCATGGCATCACATAAGGAAGGAGTTAATTCTAGGGATACCGTATTCGCCGTAATAAGCTTAGTAAATTGGCGTGGGGCATATTAAAACCAATCATTATGACACAGTGAGTTAAAAATTTGTATTCAGAGATCGAAGGGTAATGAACAAGGTTAGTTATAGTTCGAGCGTCAATGATTCCATAATAGTTACTGTGCAGTTAATCAATCTTTATTCATGGTACTGATGAGGCCAAAGGCCTATAGTACATTGTGTGGGGCGTTACAAATTCATACATTTTCTTAGTTTCATGGCATGATAAATAAACATTGATAAATTTCTAATAGTTGCTGTAAAATCACAAGTCATTAATTTACAAAACTTGTTCCCGTTTGGGTTGCGGTAGAAATAGTTATTTAGATATTTTGCTCTTAAATCTTCATACACTGGACATACACATAAAAAGTGATAATCATAATACAATCAGTGTTCTGTGTTCTCTTCCAATACCTTCATATCTGCCTGTTTCAATAAATAGATCATGTGAGCCACAACGGAATCTGGAAAGAGCTGTTCTAAACTTATGTAAATTTACACTTAATAGATAAGGTTCTAGTATAATAGTAGTCTTAAATGTAGTGTAGTAATTTGCTTTTCTAGAACTGGACAAAGAACCATGCCATTTTTGAATGTACATGTACATATCTTTTAAAGTCTGTGTCAAACGGGAGAAGAAATGTGCAGTATATCTGACCCCTTTCAGCTGCAGTTTTCTGTAAAACACCAGACAATGTGGACTGCCGTTTAAAGATCGGTCTTAGTAGAGGACACTTAGGAAGAGTACTCACAGATTAGTCTAAAGGTTGGTCAGAGGGCATTTATTGGCACAGGGTGCTTTAAACGGTTAATACGGTAATAAATGCAAAGCTTAAAGCTTTCTTAATTAACGCCTTATAATCACACATATGAATGAAAAATCACAAGTGGCTCGTCAGTGACCTCTAAATGCTTGATGAAATATTACACCTACTTTCCAAACGCAATGTTCAGTAGTGTGTGCTTGTCCTTCCGTGTGAACCTCTCTCTCTCTCTCTCTCTCTCTCTCTCTCTCTCTCTCTCTCTCTCTCTCTCTCTCTCAGTTTAACATGGATACCCAACTCAGACAAGATATACTCCGAGCCTACCAGTCCTTGTTTTCGCCCCTAATGCCGAGCGCCAGGCAGGGTAACAACAAGTACCATCTTTTAAAGTATTTTGGTATGACGCGGTCGGGGATCAAACCCCGGACCTTCCGCTCCCCTGGCGCTATATGCACTAGACCACATAGACGACCGTAATCCGAATAAAAAAGAATCTTCTACATACCTGTTCCTGCACTTTTAGAGAACTATTCGAGCACTATTCATGCACTATTCATACATTAACGATGCACACATCATGAACTATGTACCATTTCTGTTCTTCCACATCTCGGCGGCAAATGATGACGTGGACACCCGCTGACCGTTGTACTCCCAAACCCAGGTATTCTGGGTATATTTCATGCCGATCCACACCTTGCCGGACACCGGTCTACATGGACAAATATTAGTGGGTGGGTGAATGGTTTAAACCCATAAACCCATAAACCTATAAACAAGTTTTGTGTGGCTTTTAGTCTGTCATACAGACCCTGAAACAAATATATCTAAAACAGCCCTTGCAAGTCTATAATGTTTGGCAAGTCTAGACTACTGCAGTATCTGAAAATGAAATAAGTTTCTAGGCTCCTTTTTATTATATGTCATAACTATACGTTTACATCTGTTTTTTTTCTGTAAAATGTGTTCATTTAAGAGACTTGATGTTAGACTATGTGGCAAGCTTAAGATGTGGCTCACGTCGTCAAAATATAGAAACGGGTAGACACATGGGCATATCAAGAAACCAAAAAAATAGAGGTTATCACGCGAGTGTGTTTGGGGATGGTAAATATCCTGCATTAGGAATAAACATTGTATTTAGCGAGCCTTGGCGGTCTGTAAATAATCGAGCCTGTACCAGACAATCCAGTGATTGATATCATGAGCATCGACCCACGCAATTGGGATACGATGACATGCATCAACCAAGTCAGCGAGCCTGACCACCCGATCCCGTTAGTCGCCATTTACGACAAGCATAGTCGCCTTTTACGGCAAGGGTGGGTTGCTGAAGACCTATTCTACCCCGGATCTTCACGGGTCGCAGACAGCTGTCATATTGCTGGTTTATTGCTGAGTGCGACGTTAAACAACACACTACCAAAGCCTTAGCATTCAGATGTGATGTTACGTTGCACCTCAAACTCCGAAATCATAGTCAAAACGAAATATACAATGCTGTAGAGTCCAATAGGTTTACCAGACATAATAAAACATCCTTCCACATGTTTCCACTGAAAGACGTTTATGTTATACAGTTCGACTAGCACTACTTGACCCTTACATTTTGGAGTTGTTGTTCCTCAGGGGGAGGATGACGTTCTCAAACTCATCCCACGTCTCTATCCACACTGGCGCGCTGAACCCTGGGACCAGAGCGTTACAGTGAGAGAAGGCGTCCTGCCCCTTTATTGCGCTTGGCAACCAACTGTAGCAGTGGTCCTTCACCTTGACGAATCCACCCGGACAACCTGGAAACACCCGGGACATCAGGACCTCGACGTCAAGCCTAATCTAACGCTTGGATCGACGTTGCTTATGTGCGTTATATACACCCTTACCTGTCGAACGAACCTGTAAAGTTGATCTGTAATCGTTTCATGTTCGAATTTCGAAATCTTATTTGTAATTAGTGGATCCTGACAAGTAAGGGGCGCAACTCTGCACAGCGAGATGTGGCGCCATACAGTAGTATCAAGGAGCATGTTAACGTCAAGCCTAATCTAACGCCTGGATCGACGTTGCTTTTGCGCGTTAGCTACACCCTTACCTGTCGAACGAAACTGTAACGTTGATCTGTAATCGTTTTATGTTCGAATCTCGAAATCTTATTTGTAATCAGTGGATCCTGACAAGTAAGGGGCGCAACTCTGCACAACGAGATGTGGCGCCATACATTAACGGCCCCAGCGTCCCTTTTACTTACATAAACTAACGATAGTGGTAGCGGATGGCCCAGTCGTCTAAGGCACCGCAATTCGCTGTGCAGAGTTGCGTCCCTTGGGCACGCCAGAAACTTATGATTGTGGGTTCGAATCCCGGTTCGCACCGATTATGTTTCTAGGTTTGTCAGCACCATACCCGTGCTCGTGGGTTTCACCGAAGTGGTAAACGTCCTGCAACACTTCGGGTTTCCTCCCACATGAAGCTGACACGCCGTGATATAACTGGAATACTGTTAAAAGCAGCGTTAAACTCACTCACTCACTCTAGATGGGAATCCTTTCGTTTTAATCTTACAAAAGCCCATCAAATATTACAGATAGATACAAAATCTGACAGTGACGTCTTGCTGGACCAAGAAATCACACACTTTGCGGAAAGAGGAATCGAACCAGTTATTTGAATTGTTTTCACTAACAATAGGTGTGGTGAAATGGGGTTTAACGTCGCGTCCAAGATTATTGCACTTACAAAGCGACGTGCATGCACGTGTATGTATGTGTGTGGCTGCTTGTACTAGTTCGGACTGATGCCGATTTATAGTGCTAGCTCACTGAGATACCATGCCGCAGTTTAACATGAATACCCTACTCAGACACAGACTACTGACTCCGAGTCGACCAGTCCTTGTTTTAGTCCCTTAATGCCGAGCGCCAGACAGGGTAACAACAAGTACCACCTTTTAACGTCTTTTGGTATGACGCGGTTTGGGATCGAACCCCGGACCTTCCGCTCTCCGGGCGGACGCTCCACCATTAGACCACGGAGGCGGTTCTTACCAACAATATGTACATGACACAGATACAACAATGTAGTTCAATGACCTACCGGAACAAAAATTGGTCAAGGTTGACCACGTGCCGTCTGACCGACACATTATCTTCCTCTGCAGATTCCCAATTTTGCATTTAAGCGTTATCTTCTGTCCCACTCGGTAGGGGGCGCTGTCGGTGGACGCCTTGATGACGTCATTTAAAATGACTGGCTCGCCACATGAAACGTGAATAGCTGCGAATACAGAAGTTAAGGGTTAGTTCGATTTATTATCATTATTATTAAAATTATTATTGGGTGTCTGATATATGTAAACACTGGGTTAACAAGCGATTCTACTATTTGAAGGTATATAGAAATGTCATGGCAGACGACCCCAAGATTGCGTTTTAACAGAGGTCTCATTCAATGGAATTGAACCTGTTTTGGGCGTGACAGGCAAACACGTTAACCATAGGGCCTTTATTGGAAGCAATTAAACAGTAATTACGGATTACCACTGGGACCAAAAGGCCACATTCCGCGATTATTTTGCCGACAGCAATTGTTTTTTTAACGAGTTATTTTGTGGTTACATTTAAAAACGTTATCACTTTTAGAAGAGTGTCATCAGTGACGTTTAATTTTCTAATTCCTGCTGTGTACAAACGACCTTTGTGTTCGAACCTGGCGTTTCCTTTTCAGGGTAGTCCTGTATCTTTCCCCGATCCATGCACGACTTGAAGCAAACCCGCCGCGTCTCATAATCCTGACATCCGGGGTCCAGATGGAGGGATGAGGAACAATCATCGAGGAGGTCGTAGGGAGGGACTGCATGGAGAGATTGGGGATAAGGGGGTTGGCTTAAGAGTCTTTCAGTTATATCACTGTGTGCCAGCTTAATGTGGGAGGAACGCCTGAAGTGATGCAGATCCTAGAGAACTGCGATTCGAACCCACGATCATAGGTTCCGGACACGCCTAAGGGACACAACTCTTAGACGACTGGGCTAAGGTGGCTTCTTGTAGAGAAGAAGGCTATTTGCTCGTGTGGTTTCATTCCTTCACAATACCTGGTTGCGATTTCTTTGATTGAAATTGTTATGTTCTGTTTATCGGGGATCAAGGATTCCTCATAGTTAGTGTCTGGGTGTTGTTGTCTGTTGTTAACGCCGCACTCAGCAATATTCCAGCTATATGACGGTGGTGAGTGATTTGGTTGACCTATCTAAATACTTCTGTAGTGTGTATTTTGGACGGAGGCTGTCACATATGGAGTTAAATGTGGCAACAAGAGCCTTTGTTAGGTTACAAAGAGTTTTTTGTTTCACAAAAAAACGGTGCAATAACTTTTTTTGTTCTTGTGCATGTGCCGTCCTGACTATCGTGATGGGGACGCGGCATTTGACATCTATAAGTTTCTGTACTTCACCTCTGAATGAAATTGTCAAATTCAAATGTCTAACTGTTTGCATGTGATGAAACTTTAACCACTTGATTCAGTCCCTTGCCACAAACGGCATGCTGACAATTCGTAGTGTCAGGCGATCGGAAAATGGACACAAAATATACAAGTAGCATCCGTTCACGATTAAACTTCTTGGTTTGGCAGGATCGTGCACGTGCTGGTGGTTTCACCAAAATGGCATTCATCACTTCTGGCTTTCCATCCACTATAAACTGACACGCCATGATAACTTAAATGTTGTTCGAAGCGGCGTCACATCTGACTCAATTGATCCCTCATAACACAATAGAAGGTCTACGAAGAGAAAATTGCAAGATCGGATAATCATTTATTTCACACTCGTTATGGCTATATCTAAGACAGAAAATAAACATTTGCATCTTTCAAACACAATTGTTCAAATACCCGAAGAACAAATAGTTTTGTTTTACCTTCATTGTGCGGTATTTTAAATATGGTGGTCAATAAAGGAAGACAATCACATGCAACGAAAAACAAAGTCATGAAAGATTATTCATGGGAATCCACCCTAGGCAGCACCCGTGAAGATTCCGGGGTAGAATAGGTCTTCAGCAACCCATGATTGCCGTAAAAGGCGACTATGCTTGTCGTAAGAGGCGACTAACGGGATTTGGTGGTCAGACTCGCTGACTTTGTTGATGCATGTCATCGATCCCAAATGCGTGGATCGATGCTCATGACATTAATCACTGGATTGTCTGGTCCAGACTCGATTATTTACAGACCGCCGCCATATAGCTGGAATATTGCTGAGTGCGGCGTTAAACAACAAACAAACAAACATCCTAGGCAGCAAGTTGTACCATTCTACACTTTTGTTTGTGAAGTTGTCAGTTTCTAATCCTGTCTGTAGCTTTGCTGGCCCTTGAACGCAACACTCACCTGATTGAGCAACGTCGCAATACTTGAAAGTGACGTTACGTTCAAAGATGGCCGTCATGCAATAAGGCTTGGATCGCTTCTGTCCACAGTTGCGACAGAAATCTCCTTCAAAGTCACAGTAGTCTAAACTTGTTGAGTGCCTAAAACACAACTAGCTGATGTCACCAAGCATCATTAATTCTGTATCAGTGAGAGTTCTGTATCAGTGAGTGAGAATAGTCTCACGCCGCTTGATCAATATTCAAACCATGACGATGGGGCAACACAGTTTTCCATAATGCAACTACAGGTATTTCTCGTGACAAGCCAACATTTTACCCACTAGGCTACCCAACCGACACATTTGTACATTTATCTACAGTAAACTACGTTTACAACGAACACGCATATATTTAACGAACTGACCGATATAACAAACGTATTTTTTAGTTCCGGCCATTTGTCGTATATATGCTTAGAACGAACTACGGTTATTACGAACTGAAATTAGTGGTCCCTTTGAGTTCGTTATAACCGTAGTTTACTGTAACTGTAATTCCATATTCTGGAATAAAAAAAATCAATGGTTGTTCGTTGTGTTAATAAAACATGCATGATGTATATCTCTTCATCCGGTGTATTCGATATACAGTAAACTACGGCTGTAACGAACTCGGAGGGACCACTAATGTTAGTTCGTAATAACCGTAGTTCGTTATAAGCATATATACTGCATAAATACAACAAATGGCCGGGACTAAAAAAATACGTTCGTTATATCGGTCAGTTCGTTATAAGCGTGTTCGTTATAAACGTAGTTTACTGTATGTTTGTGATTCACCGAACAGAATATTTAGTGAAACCTCGTTAAGTCGACTTCTATCCATAATTGTTTTTTCCAGGTAACGATGTGCTGGCACAAGAATTATTACCAACCCTGTAAGACCTAATTTCCTTACTCAACTTGTCTTCTTACTTCTTATTGATCCGGGGTAGAATAGGTCTTCAGCAACCCATGCTTGCCGTAAAAGGTGACTATGCTTGTCGTAAGAGACGACTAACGGGATCGGGTTGTCAGGCTCGCTGACTTGGTTGATGCATGTCATCGTATCCCAACTGCGTGGACCGACTCTTATGATGTCAATCACTGGATTGTCTGGTTCAGACTCGATTATTTAAAGACCGTCGTCATATAGCTGGAATATTGCTGAATATTGTGTTGAGGTTAAAACATTTTGTTTTGAAAAGAAATAAAAAATGAAAGTTACCTACACGATGTTATACAAGTTGTTGGCCAGGCCATATCCCTGGCTCCACGGCAGACACTTCTCAAACCCCAGCGCGTAGTTCATCCTCCCGTGGTAGCTCTCGCCTTTACTCGCGAGATCATATGGCAAATCATCCGCTGAAAAATATAATATAAATATCAAAATAAAAAAGATATGAAATATGGCATAAATTCATACTTGTGTGGAACTCCTACCTTTTTTCGTGATATTATATGTCGCCATCATTTATTTTCGACGAGGACTTGTAAACCTCAAGTTTCGTCATGCCTTTATTGTCAGTTAAGTCATACGTGAAAATCCCTTAGGACATTGTGTCAGATCTTTGGGATTTTAAACTACTCTCAGCATTAACTGTTCTGGAAATAAATCCTTTTTTTGAAATTCGAATCCTTACCCATCGCGACCCGTGAAGATCCGGGATAGAATAGGTCTTCAGCAACCCATGGTTGCCGTAAAATGCGACTATGCTTGTCGTAAAAGGCGACTAACGGGATCGGGTGGTCAGGCTCGCTGACTTGGTTGATGCATGTCATCGATCCCAATTGCGTGGATCGATGCTCATGATGTCAATCACTGGATTGTCTGGTCCAGACTCAATTATTTACAGACCGCCGTCATATAGCTGGAATATTGCTGAGTGCGTTGTTAAACAACAAACAAACCAAACCAAACCAAACCAAACCAAACCTTACCCATCGCGTGAATTTTCGTTGTTTGGGGTGAGTTTAAATGACACAAGAGTCAAGACACTATACATACACATATTAGTATTCTGGCGATTGATTTGCGTTTATGAAATATTAATATGCATACAAGTTTTTAATTTAAAGCGCTGAAACCACAGAAACAACACTCCAACGGAATTTTTAAAACTGTTTTCTCGAGAAAAAAATCAGGGGTATGGTTTGATGATGCAGGTTTTATATTTTAATAAAGAAACTCTCGGATGTGTTCTTCCTTCACATTCAAGATGTTTCAGACAAATTGAATATTCTTTTTTGAATATTATAAGCTCCAAAAGGCTCCCAAGCAGTAATAGGGTTGGTTGGTTGTTTTGTTGTTTTACGCCGCACTCAGCAATATTCCAGCTATATGACGGCGGTCGGTGAACTTAACAATGTTGATTTACCAGGTGCAAGTTTGGCAGTGAGTTTGAAACCGTTCCAGTTGCAAGAGGTGTTCCCGGATGAAAACTTGACCAATGCCTTGTTGTTTATGCTCAGGTACGGCTTCACCTTGCCAGTTTTGGTAATCCTGAAAAAAATAATGTTTGATATATATTGGTGACCGTTGGGGTATTTTTAACGATGACAATATTTTGTGTAACTACGATAGTTCAAAATAAATTAATCAGGATCGTCATACCATTACAGTAGTTGTTACACACGTCAAGCACTCGGCTATATTCCAACGATATAACAGCGGACAGTCTGGGCCGGACCATCCTGTGACTGACATCATGAGCATCGGTCAACGCAACTGGGATAGGATGACATGCATCAACCAAGCCAGCGAGCCTGATCCCCTACCCGTTAGTCGCCTCCTACCACAAGCATGGGTTGCTGAAGATCAATTCTAACCCGGATCTTCCTGGGTATGTATTATCTAAGGGTTTAGTATTTACTAGAGGTGGTGATAATAACTACATATTTCTGTTCGCAGTATTCCGTCTCTCGAAGCTATCGATAGTCTAACGTGTTCTCGTTGTCATCTATCGATAATTCAACGGCCAATGAACAATCGATAGTTCGAATAATCGTCACACCTGTGTTGAGCAATAAACACTCGACTAAAACAATGAACAACTTTTTTAGAAGTTAAAGATATAATCATGAACGTGGTTGCTTGATCAATTGAGTCTTTGTTGAAGTAAGAAGCTTCCACGTCTTCGTGTTTTGCCATCTATCAAGACTATTGCCCGTAGGACTAGGATGCACATGGTCAGTTCGTGTTTCACTTAATGAGGTACATACCGTATCGGGGGATCAGAGAACATGTATCTTCCGAGACTGAGCGTTGCACCACAGCCGATGTCAACGTTACTGAACGTCAGTACAATCTGCGAGCCCTCGGCCGCCTGCAAATACCAGGAATACATTATACTCTGGTGCCATTATGCTGCCACCGCGGTTGTAACTGCTGCTGCTGCTGATGATGATGATAAAGTGATGATTACGATTTTGTTAATGTTACACCCCTGGTCGTACCGTTGCTGAACCATGTACGAGTGAGTGAGTGAGTGAATCGGGTTTGAACATTATTCCAGTTACAACAATCACAGCAATGTTAGCTTAATGTTGGAGGAAAGCCGGAAGTGTTGCAGTATCACGGGTATGGTGCTGACAAACCTAGAAACATAAACGGTGCGAACCGGGATTCGAACCAACAATCATAGGTTTCTGGCGTGCCCAAGTTCCGCAACACTACACTGGGCCACCTGTGTCCCGCCTCATGCACTATTGCCGATAGTCAACTTAACTGTCGACTTGTCAATCAACACAGCAGTCAACCCAACAGTCAACCCCGTATATAACGAATTTCGCAGTTGGGAATGGTGATACATTGATATTGATGGTATCAATCTCTGGATTGTCTGCCGTTAGCTGGAATATTGCTGCGGCGTTAAACAACAAACAATACTGCTGCTACTAATACTGCAATTACTATAGCCAAAAAAGGCGTAACTTAAAGTAAAAGGTGACTATGCTTGTCGTAAAAGGCGACTAACGGGATTGGGTGGTCAGGCTCGCTGACTTGGTTGATGCATGTCATCGAATCCCAATTGTGTGGATCGATGGTCATGATGTCAATCACTGGACTGTCTGGTTCAGACTCGATTATGTACAGACCGCCGTCATATAGCTGGAATATTGCTGAGTGCGTTGTTAAACAACAAACAGCAATCAAAAGCTAAACGCCAGACGAACCTTGAAGGCCCAGTCACACTGAGCGTTGACGCCATATTTCCCAGGGTAGCCAGGGGAGGTTACTGTCACACTCGTCAGGGCGGGGCTCAGTTCGTACACGCCCCCACAACCTGGGGACAAACGACAAGATGCGGAAACACATGACCTTCAATGATTCGTTGCTTTTTAGCCGCTTTGGTTCTGTCGATAGTAACGAGTGTTCTAAATCCTAAGACAATACTGTAACTTTAATTCTAAAATACAAAACCACACCTTTGATTATAAAACCACAATAATAACACAATTAAAGCTCATCTACAAGTATTGCACAACAAAAGAACATTATTATTTGAATGCAACAAAACCACACCTTTGATTATAAAACCAAAATAATAACACAATTAAAGCTCATGTACAAGTATTGCACAACAAAAGAACATTATTATTTGAATGCGACAAAACCACACCTTCGATTATAAATCCATGACGACAATATTAACACAAGAAAATTTTATTAACAATTATTTTCACAAAACAAAAATATTTGAATGCGACAAAGCAACACCTTTGACAATAACACAACAAACATACACCTACAGTCACAACCCTAATTTACACTTACAGTTTAATTGTTTATATGTTATGAACTAAAATATGATTAATTATTCTTTTCCATAACTGACATGACTGCTCTTAAAGACGTGAAAGTTTAGGTATTACTTGCAGAAAACTACACAGAACCATAGAAGCACATAGAGAAGTATGTACGTTAAGAAGAGATGTTTCAAATGAGTACCCCTTAATGACAAAACTAACAATCAGTCAAGTGTTACGTCAGTGTCTTTATTCTTATCACGATATGCTGCACGTGATTTCCAAACTTTACACGCTAATCCTGCACGAGACTAATCGTGTATCTCGAGTCATAGATCTATAACGTCACATGTGTATGTTTGCCTGTACCCCGAACCTATTTCTGGAATATAAGCAATTCTTCACATATTAACCAAAATGTGTGGTGTTAGCGTTTCTTTTGTCGGTGAGTATATATGGGACTCTTATATAGTTTCTACCCTTGGATGTACATGTATACAGTCATTCTCCCTGTGATTCAGGGGTAGAATAGGTCTTCAGCAACCCATGCTTGCCGTAAAAGGCGACTAACAGGATCGGGTGGTCAGGCTCGCTGACTTGGTTGATGCATGTCAACGATCCAAATGGCGCGGATCGATGCTCATGATGTCAATCACTGGATTGTCTGGTCCAAACTCGATTATTTACAGACCGCCGTCATATAGCTGGAATATTGCTGAGTGCGGCGTTAAACAACAAACAAACAAACAAACAAACAAACAAACATTCTTCCTGTGTCCAGGAGTGGGCCAACCACGAATAGATATTTCAGGACCTAGAAGGCTTCCAGCTCATATTTTAATAATAATAATTTTATGCCTTCCTTACTCGTGAAATAGAGAGATTTTTGTAAACAGTTGGGGAAGATTCAAAGAGAAAACTAACCGATTTGGTCTTGCTATCATTCATGAGTCATATAAAAAGCAAATCCTAATAATGTTTCTTTACCTTTTGAGAGGACGGTGGTGCAGTTGGTAGCGGGGTCAAACCCGATTGGGCATACGCACTGACACTTCCCGTCAACCATTCCTTGGTACCCTTCATTGGCGCAGACCCGACTCACACAATCTGTGTCACCTGGTAGAGAGTGAGTAAGTGGGTTGAGTTCAGTATAGTTATTGGTGAGGTGAAATTAGGTTTAACGTCGCGTCAAAGATTATTGCACTTATATAGCGACGTGCATGCACGTGTGTGTGTGTGGCTGCTTGTACTAGCCGGACTGATGCCGATTTATAGTGCTAGCTCACTGAGATACCATGCTGCAGTTTAACATGAATACCCCACTCAGACACAGTATACTCACTCAGACCCGACCAGTCCTTGTTTTAGCCCCTTAATGCCGAGCGCCAGACAGCCTGAGGGTAAGGACAAGTACCATCTTTTGGTATGACGCGTCCGGGGATCGAATCCCGGACCTACCGCTCTCCGGGCGGAAGCTCTACCACTAGACCACGGAGGCGGACAGTATAGTTATAGAGTTACTACAGAGATTATTGGTAGTACTAGAGTTTACTGTTATTTGCAGAAAGACCGCAATGCTGAGTTTCATAGGAGCAATCGATGTGGGAACAGAACCTAGGTCACTAGCGAACCGATCGAACGCTGTAACAATTGGCTGATGGTAGCATCGTTCAAATCTTTTTTCATAAAGAAATTTCCGACGTAAAGGTTTTTCGATTGATGTTCAGAGGGTACTCGCAACATCACGTGCACCCATCAGATGGATGAGATGAGGTCTTCAGCAACTCATGCTTGCCGTAAAAGGCGAATATGATTGTCGTAAGAGGCGACAAACGGGATCGGATGGTCAGACTCGCTAAATTGGTTGATGCATGTCATCGTATCCCAGTTGCGTCGATCGCAGCTCGTGATGTCAACCACTGGATTGTCTGGTCCTAGACTCAATTATTTACAGACCGCCGTCATACACCTGGAATTTTGCTGAGTGCGGCGTTAAACAACAAAAAAACAAACAAACGTGTCATAGTACCCCGACTGCGAAATAGTTGCAATATCGGTCACTGGACTGTCTGGTTCAGACTCGATTACTTACAGTCCGCTGTGATGTAGCTGGAGTATTGTCAGATGCGGCGTTAACCAACCAACAAACAAAAAACTGTTTTCATAACAAAGTTCACTGATATCTCACCACAGCAGCGTTGGATGATGTTGATTTCCTTGAAATACATGAAAATACTGTCGAGAGTCGGTCCACCCAAGTCGTCGTACAAGAAAGTGTAGGTGGGCCAACCATATTTAGTCACGAGCTGAAAGTTTAATATATCCAACTTCAAAACCTCCTGCACCGTTAGTGAGTGAGTTAAAATTAACAGTCACATTGTCAATATTTCACCCATATAGTGAGTGAGTGAGTGAGTAAGTATGGTTTTACGCCGCTTTTAGCAATATTCCAGCAATATCATGGCGGGGGACACATTAAATGGGCTTCACACATTGTACCCATGTCGGGAATCGAACCCGGGTCTTCGGCGTGACGAGCGAACGATTTAACCACTAGGCTACCCGACCGCACCCACCCATATAGTAAATGAGTGAGGAGAGTTCAACGCAGATTTGAACAATATCCCAGTTATATCATGGCGTGTCAGCTTATTGTGGTAGGAAAGCCCGAAGTGATGCAGGTCTTTGACATTTACCACTTTGGTGAAACCCACACAAGTACAGGTATGGTGCCGACACATTTAAACCTAAAAACATATTTAGAACGAAATGGGATTCGAACCCAGTATCATAGGTTTCTGACATGCTCAAGGGACACAAGTGGGCACAGCTGAATGCGACTCTGCCCCCTAGTGCCTCCCACCCATATAGTGACTGAAAAAAATTATACATAATAATAAAAAATAGTATTAATAAACACAGTTAGACTAAATAAAACCTGTCGTCAATGGAAAGTAAAACAACCAAATTATCACACATTTGTTTTTAAAACTAGTTACCTTACAATTGAGTGAGATTGGTTTTGGCAATATTCCAGCAATATCACGGCGGAGGACACCAGAAATGGGCTTCACGCATTGTACCCATGTCAGGATTCGAACCCGGGTCTTCGTCGTGACGAGCGAATGCTTAAACCGCTAGGCTACCCGATCGCCCCAGTTACCTTACAAAGTATATGACTATGTAACTATACATTATAAAAAAACGGGCTAGAGATCACCAGCAACCAAGATTAGGCCACCATACAAAGGACCATTGGTTTTACGGTACCTCCGCTACCTACATTGAACTCCAGCATTAGAGTGAGTGAGTGAGTTTGGTTTAACGCCGCTTTTAACAGTATTCCAGTTATATCACGGCGTGTCAGCTTAATGTGGGAGGAAAGCCCGAAGTGATGCAGGTCTCAGACGTTTTCCACTTCGGTGAAACCCACGAGCACGGGTATGGTGCTGACAAATCTAGAAACATAGTCGGGGCGAACCGGGATTCGAACCCACAATCATAGGTTTCTGGCGTGCCCAAGGGACGCAACTCTGCACAGCGAATCGCAGCGCCTTAGACGACTGGGCCACCCGTGTCCCCTCCAGCATTAGAATAGGCCACGGGCTAGAATAGGTCCCCAGCAACCTCTGCTTGTCGTAAGACGCGATCATAACGGATCGTGTGGTCATTGCAAGTCATCGTACCCTTACGGCGTGGGTCGTTGTTCAAAATATCGATCACTGGAATGTCTGGTCAGCGTTGATTATTTACAGGCCGCAACCATATAGCTGTTCTATTGCTGAATGAGGCGGTAAATCACAAGCACACAAAACCACCTCCTGACAAAGGATCATAATCGCGTGGAATTTGGGATTCGAACTCTGGCAGCTGTGCAACTGCGAACTGACCACTTGACCAACCGTACCCGTGTATTTACTGATAACGATCGAGTACTGATTACTGATAGTGATCGATACTTACATATTGATTATACAGCATGATTGACTGGCTCGAGAAGCCACATGACATGATGTTGTCCATGTCACCTAGCGGCATCTGTTCCTGGGTGTTCCAGTAATCTGTTACAACAGAAAAAAGTAACCGTTACGTTAATTTTATAACAAAATGTTTTTGACTTCGTTTCGTTCGAGCGATGCCAACTTTTGCTACGATTCGTCTTTTGCATTATTCCGCGCACGTTTAACTCGCAGCAAGATTACGGTACATTTTTGCTACACACAGCGTTGGTTGGTTGGTTTGTTGTTTAACGCCGCACTTAGTAGTATTTCAGCTATATGAAGGCGGTCTGTATATTATCCAGTCTGGACCAGTCAATCCAGTGATTGATATCATGAGCATCGATCCATGCAATTGGGATACGATGACATGCATCAAACTAATTAGGTACGTTAGGGAGCCATGCTATAGGTTGTGGCAGGATCACAAGGGGTACATGGGGGTTAATGGGCCCCGCGTTAGATTTTATACCACGGAGCAGGAGGCGAGGGGGCTCGTGGTATAAAACCTAATGAGGGACGCAAAAAACAAACAAACATGTAGCCTGGGTGATAATGCTCAAAAGAATTCATCTTACCGACAGTTTTTAAACTGCTATTGTGAAAGGATTAAAACTAATTTTTCAACAGCTGTTCGATTGAGCTGATGTCAACTTGTGCTATGTCACGCAAGTTTTATTGACTGTGGCTTTTACTTCGAAGCTGGGTGTAAGGGGTTTATTCTCCCGCTGAGAAATCCACGTGCAGCCTGTTTTCTTCGTGGCGGGGGATAACGGATGTATTCTCCCTCAGAAATTTATTCACGTTTGTTCACGAAAATCACGTGGACCAATCAGATCTCGTCATTCTGACATGGAGGCATGCCAATGGCTGTTCTCATCATGGCAAAAGAAGGGGAGAGAAGACAGAGGGTGGTAAACAAAGGGAGACAGTGACACACCAGTCAGAAAGAAGACATTTTTGCTATCCTAACTGGAGGTAAAATAATAAGACAAGATTGTCAGAACAGTTGTTATAAGCACAGGCATAAATCCTGCTAATGTTTTACATGTGTTCAACATAACAAAACCTAAAAACTTGATGGATACTGTTTCAGCACATTCCTAGTTGTGACAGTCTAACTGATCATCAAGGAGTAAGCATCACGGGAACGTCCATTACTTCATGCAGCAAGGCACGTATCCTGTTTCAGGCGACATACAATTTAATTTACTGTTCGCAAAAACGTTACAAGTATCGCATTGTTATTTTTTAAATTTGTTTATTTGTTTTCTATATTTAGCAAAATTACGTTTGGAATCGTGACCATTATTAAACGAAATCGTTGATGTCAGTTAATGGGTCATTATCAAAACTGTACCCCTTTTGGTCCTGTTGGATAAACAAAAACAAAACTTGAAAATTCCAACTTTTAGTGATTTAACAAGAAACATCTAAACGTAACAAATAGTTGGGTTAATTATGCCCAAACAAAAAAACATTATTTTGAAATATTTTAGATATACCGGAGAAACAGTAAAAATCATTGTCCTTGTTACCTAGTTACCAATATTTTGCAGAAATAAAAAATAAACACAATATTTCTATCAGTGTATCAAAACTAATATTTCCCCACTGCCTAGTAAAGAAAAAGAATCTCACTTCTAATATCACCACGGATCATCACTCTTTGCGAGGAATGAAGAGAAAGATTTATTATTTACTCTTCTCTGTGTCCGACACATTACCAAAATGATCGATATAATTTCAATATTCTGTATTCCTTGAACATGTTATTTCTACTTATTGAAAATCATGCTATGCTTTGTTTGTTTTTTGGTTTGCTGTTTAACGACGCACTCAGCAATATTCCAGCTGTATGACGGCGGTCTGTAAATAATCGAGTCTGGACCAGACAATCCAGTGATTGAAATCATCAGCATCGATCCACGCAATTGGGATCGATGACATGCATCAACCAAGTCAGCGAACCTGACCACCCGATCCCGTTAGTCGCCTTTTACGACAAGCATAGTCGCCTTTTACGGCAAGCATGGGTTGCTGAAGACCTATTCTACCCCGGATCTTCACGGGTCCATGCTATGCAATTTGTGTTTACCTGAATCATTTTCAGAATTTCCTTTGGTAGCACCAAAGACAAAACGGTTACACAATCACGTACGACATCGCTGTGTAGCCGGTGTCTGCAGTGTCGGTACTTACACGGTCCAGCGTTTTCTATGTTCGGGTCAATGAAGTTGATCCTTTCAGGAAGAGCCAGATCATGAATCTTCCCCAACAGATGTCCGAACTCGTGGGTATAGTCCAGCTGGAATAGCAGGAATACCGTAAATACCCTACTCTGGAACCATCCTAAGCGTGGTTTTACGCTTCATTTGACCATTACTACAATTCAAGCCGTATGACGGTGGGGACAGCAGGAATAGGCATCACTAATTGTACCTATGTGGGGAATCGAACCCTGATCTTCGGTATGCCGAGCGAACGTCTTAACTATTAGGCTACACTGAGCCCTTTTATAATCTTTGTTTGTTGTTTAACGCCGCACTCAGCAATATTCCAGCCGTATGACGACGGTCTGTAAATAAGCGAGTCTGGACCAGACAATCCAATGATTGACGTCGTGCACGTCGATCCACACAATTGGGATACGATGATATGCATCAACTAAGTCTGCGAGCCTGACCACCCGATCCCTTACTCGCCTCTTACGACAAGCAGAATCGCCTTTTACAGCAAGCATGGGTTGCTGAAGACCTATTCTACCCCGGATCTTCGCGGATCCTTTTATAATCTACGCCAGACGGGTGAACATGAATAGAAAACACAATGATGATTTTCAGTTTTTTGGTTGTTTGTGGTTTAACGCCAAACTCAACAATAGTCCAGCGGCAGCCTGTTTTTAATCAAGTCAGGACCCGACAATCCAGTGACTTTCGGGATGAACAACACTCCCGCCCTTTAGGCAAGATGACGAGCAATCAACCAAGTCACTGACCATTCTATCCATTATATCGGGGGCGGTCGGGTAGTCTAGTGGTTAAAGCGTTCGCTCGTCACGCCGAAGATCCGGGTTCGATTCCCCACATGGGTACAATGTATGAAGCCCATTTCTGGTGTCCCCCGCCGTGATATTGCTGGATTAGTGTCTTCATCACTTTTTCATGGTTCTCCATTATCCATCACTCCATTATATCGCCTCTTACAAGGATGGATTACTGAGGCCCAACACGGGTACCAGAGAAACCCTACCTTGATCATGATGACACCAGTGTAGAGGGAACTGAACCCGGCTTCCAAAGCTTTACCCACTAAGCTATCCACTACATACTATTTAGTGATTGGAGCATACAAGTATCAATAGTATCTCACCCTTCTTGGACATGGCGACATGGTGCCAGAGCCGGAACCTCCCACGATAGAATAACACCTGTAGGACAGAACAAACACTGTATATAGCACAACCTCCATAACCCGCATTATTGTAGAATACACCTGCAGTACAGAGTACGTGTTTTGTATATTGTGAATTCTCTTTAATCCGCATCATATTATAGAACAGAACACAATACGTGTACAGTACAACCCTTTAATTCATATCACTAATGAAGAACTCAATCAATCAATCCATCCATCCATCCATCCATCCATCCATCCATCCATCCATCCATCAATCCATCCATCCATCCATCCATCCATCCATCCATCCATCCATCAATCCATCAATCAATCAATCAAACATAACGACGTGCATGGTTGTGTGGCTTGTACTAGTCCGGTCTATGCTACTTTATTGTACTAACCAACTGAGATACCATGCCGCAGTTTAACATGAATACCCCACTGAGACACCGCATACTGACTCCGAGCCGACCAGTCCCCATCTTCCCGAGGCGAGGGAGGTAACGGACTATATAAGTAGAGTTTCTACCCTTGCCGAAATGGGCTGCAATTACAAAGTTATATTTTGGCTGGACTAACGAGTCTATGCATAGTCCAATCAAAATCGCGTAAAGAACTAGACACCCGGTTCGTAAACAAACATGAATTTCAACGGGCAGATTTCGGTCGAATGCAGGATTTGCAAAGCATGTGTACCGTCAACTGGGCGTCGACAGATATTTTGCAAATATTTTCACGTTTTTAATTAAGGTTCTCACGTGATTTGAGGCACTGCGAGGGGTAAGACCCGTTTTGTTACAATATCGATCTTGATTATCGATCATCGTCTTGACTGGTCGTCGCCTTCTTGTTTGGGGCAAAAACACGTGATAAGAGAGGTGGAATCTGATTGGTCAAAAGGGAGGAACACAGAAGGGACAGCCACTGGTGGCGCTACGATCGTGTCAGGAAATTCCAGCATAGTTCGGCAAGGGTGGAAACTGGACGTTCACAGTCAGTTAACTCCACTGCCTCGGGAAGATGACCACCGGACCCCTTAACACCGGACTCCAAGGACAGTAAAAACAAGTACCATCTTTTAACGTCTTTCAGTAAGACGTGGCCGGGGATCGAACCAGGTCAGATGTCCGAGCAGACACTTTAGCCACTAGGCCACGGAGGCAGTCCGCTCGGTTTATGCCGTCTAGTATGTATAGACGGTCTAGGATACGTACGCTGGTCGGGTAACAATGGTCACGAAGGACGTGGTATTCAGTGGCCCATAGGGACTTGTGGCATGAGATGTTGAAGCATTCCCCTTGTCCCAAAATCTGATACAGGTATTCTTCTCCGCATAATCCATGAATTCCCGAAACATCTTTCTCAGCACATCACCTGGAAATAAGTTATGTCTTCATTGTCCCCATTAATAGTGAACCAGGGGGCACGGGTGGCCAAGTCGTCTAAAGCGCCGCGATTCGCTGTACAGAGTTGCGTCCCTTGGGCACGCCAGAAACCTATGATTATGGGTTCGAATCCGGGTCGCCCCGATTATGGTTTTAGGCTTGTCAGCACCATACCCATGTTCGTGGGTTTCACCGAAGTGGTAAACGTCTGAGACCTGCATCACTTCGGGCTTGCCTCCCACATTAAGCTGACACGCCGTGATATGACTGGAATACTGTTAAAAGCGGCATTAAACCCAACTCAGTCACTCACTAATAGTGAACCTAAGACATGAGGAAGTCGTAGGGTAGTGAGTGAGTGAGTGTAGTTTAACGCCGCTTTGAACAGTATTTCAGTTTCAGCTTGTTGTGGAGGAGTAAGAGATGTAGGTTTTAGACTATTACAACTTTGGTAATACCCACGAGCACAGATACGGTGCTGACAAACACGGGTGAATTTGGAATTCGAATCCCCGATCACGCCAATGAAGCAACTGCGAAAAGTGATTTGAATAGCAGATCTTGGCACGGTTAGGGGTCGCAAGTCTGCACAGGGAACTGCCCGCCTTGGACCTCTTGTCCACTTGTGTTCCAGAAATGAATATGATATCACATGCGTTACTTTGACAGACTCTGATATCTGAGGCGTTCCTGGTGATACAAATACTTGACAGCACATGTTGACTTACTGACTTCTTCTGAGAAAACGTAAGGCACAACCTTGTCAACCCACTGGCTGTTTCTCTTGACAGCCCGCCTGTGCCTGGACCTCTGAAATACAAACAGCAGCGTCAAAGCGATTAACACCTTACAAAGGGACATTGACAGCGAAGTCTTATCAACTCGAGCTCTTTTCAGTCGATACAGCCAGGGGCTGTTGGTGTTGTTGTTTTTTGTTGTTTTTATCATCGTCGCGTTCACATTACAAAGTGTCCAAACCACCATTCCTACTTTCACATATTCCCCTATTACTGTAGGTCTTCAGCAACCCATGCTTGCCGTAAAAGGCGACTATGCTTGTCGTAAAGGGCGACTAACGGGATCGGGTGGTCAGGCTCGCTGACTTGGTTGATGCATGTCATCGTTCCCAATTGCGTGGATCGATGCTCATGATGTCAATCACTGGATTGTCTGGTCCATACTCGAGTATTTACAGACCGCCGTCATATAGCTGGAATAAAGCTGATTTCGGCTTTAAACAACAAACAAACAAACAAACAAAAAAGCAAAACCACCCAATCCCCGTCGGCTCTTACAACAATCGATCGCCACGGTGTATCTGGAATATTGTAGGACGCGGCGTAAAACAACACTGATACAAACAAGCAAATTCATGGGATTCTAAATCTTTGATCTGACCAATAACGTCTTTTAATATACTGATCGAAATAAGTTAAAGACCACCCAATACTTTCATATCACTACAGTTAATCTGTCATAGTATGACAGGCTACACTGGTAAGACAGATTAACTATGGTGATGTGAAAACATCGGATGATCCTTAACTTCTTTTGAGTAGTATATGTAAAGCCGGGGATTACCTCATTGACCTGGCTCACCACCAGGACTCTATGAAACAGTTCTGTATCTGCACGGTTCTGCTTCCATCGCGTGTCCTGTGGGCGTTTTGCGTCGCCGGCAGCACGTCTAGCTGTGTTTATGTGCAGGAATTCCCGTTCTTCTGGACTTCGGGCAAGGATAGAATACGATAACGTCACCGCTAACAGTAGCAGTGATAATGGGGACATCCTCTGAAAATATAACTATAATTGTCCTCAAAGTAAATATTGTAGAACTGAGGGGCAAAAGAAAGTATACCGATCGAGTTTATTTTTTATGTAATTGAAATAACTTTTGTTAAATTTGATAATGTCTGTTAAACCATCACTCTTTCCTGTAGTAATTTGTGTCTGGGTAAGTCTGTGTATACTGGTTCAATTAACACTGCAGTAAGAAATGAATTTGCAACCACATGACCATTACCCTGTTTGAAATGTGGTGCCGAAAATTTTCATTTTCAAAGATAATATGTCTAAGATACCCGTCAGCAATTGTGTGTTATGCAAAAATATTTTTAAATTTTTAAATGTTTTTAAATAAAATTAGATTTAATTAGACTATGTTAATCTCTTCAGTATACATTTTTTTACAATTCTGTTTGCCACGTTAACCTAATGCACGTTATGGGACGGTCGGGTACACTAGTGGTTGAAGCGTTCGCTCGTCACGCCGAAGACCCGGGTTCGATTCCCGACATGGGTTCAATGTGTGAATTCTGGTGTCCCCCGCCGAAATATTGCTAGTATGTTGCTGAAAGCGGCATAAAACCATACTCACTCACTCCCTCATGCGCGTTACACGAAACCGTTCTAAAGGTTTTGCTGTGCAAGGGATGAAATTTAGAAATGAAATGTAAATTACAACGGGTGACAGAGTTACCTCCCTTGTCATAACTTAATGGCATGTGTTTCATAAATATGAATGTGGCCACGGTACGGCAGATACAAGGAGGGATATTTTACGACGCTTTATGTGGTTTGCACATAACATATTCATGACAGACGGGAAACAATTCCTTGAGACTGGGAACAATTAATTGCCAAACAGCGAGTGATCTTTTACGCAATTTTAAAAGCAATATTTCAGCTACAGTGGGGCCCCGCGTATCCCGAAATCTCGCCTACCGGACCATGTTTACGTGAAACAAGATATATACTACACAAAACGCCTCATTTATCCGGACATTTCGTTTACGGGCCGGAATTACAATTACCAACAGTGCAAAATACCGTTATACCGGACAGCCGCCGGATTAGCGAGGTTCGACTGTATAGTACTGCATGTACGCATGAAATGGGCTTCACACGTTGAACCCGCGTGTGGTTCGAACCTGGGTGTTCCACGTGACGAGCGGACACCCTAACCACAAGGCTAAGCCACATCCCGCTGCCAAACACACGTAGCCAAGTCTACCCGAAATAACCAAATCTTTATCATCATTTTGTTTTGCCCAGCATGAATATGTCATGATGTGTCTTCATTGTCCTTCCCAATCGGAAGAAGGAAATTATTCACTTAACTGAATCATATTTGTTATATTAAAGGATGTCCTGTTTGGACACTAACTTCAGATATGTTCAAAAGTCATGATATGGAGATCATGATATACACGCAGGGACTAGTAACTTCCACGTAGCGTCAAACAACAACAATACTACCAACATACTACTACTACTACCACTACTACTACTACTACTACTACCACTACTACTACTACTACTACTACTACTACTACTACTACTGCTACTACTACTACTATTAATACTACTACTACTACTACTACTACTGCTACTACTACTACTACTACTACTACTATTAATACTACTACTACTACTACTGCTACTACTACTACTACTACTACTACTGCTACTACTACTACTATTAATACTACTACTACTACTACTACTACTACTATTAATACTACTACAACTACTACTACTGCTACTACTACTACTACTACTACTACTATTAATACTACTACTACTACTACTACTACTACTGCTACTACTACTACTACTGCTACTACTACTGCTACTACTACTACTACTACTACTACTACTACTACTGCTACTACTACTACTACTGCTACTACTACTGCTACTACTACTACAACTACTACTACTACTACTTCTACTTCTACTACTACTACTACTACTACTACTACTACTGCTACTACTACTGCTACTACAACTACTACTACTACTACTTCTACTACTACTACTACTACTACTACTACTGCTGCTACTACTACTACTACTACTACTACTACTGCTACTACTACTGCTACTACTACTACTACTACTTCTACTACTACTACTACTACTACTACTACTGCTACTACTACTACTACTACTACTACTACTACTACTGCTACTACTACTGCTACTACAACTACTACTACTACTACTTCTACTGCTACTACTACTACTGCTACTGCTACTGCAACGGCTGCTACTAATATTACTGCTACTACACCTACTACTACTACTACTGCTACTACAACTACTACTGCTACTACTGCTACTACTACTACTACTACTGCTACTACTACTGCTACTGCTGCTACTAATACTACTGCTACTACAACTATAACTACTACTACTACTACTGTTGCTACAACTACTTCTACTACTACTACTGCTACTACTACTACTGCTCCTACTACTACTACTACTACTACTACTACTACTGCTTCTACTACTACTACTTCTACTGATGCTTCTACTACTGATGCTACCACTACTTCTACAACTGCAGCAGCTTATACTACTACTACTGCTACTATAGACTAAAATCTAGTCTCTGAAATGAACATATCGTACATAAAAAAACAGTTGTTTAGTTATCTTAATAAAAATATAATAAAAAGGAGCCCAGTGACTCCCTTCATTTTCAGATACTGCAGTGATCTAGACTTGCCAAACATTATAGACTTGCATGGGCTGTATTTGATATATATTTGTATCAGGGTCTGTAAGACAGACTACTGCTACTACTACTACTACTACTACTACTACTACTTCTACTACTACTACTACTGATACTACTACTACTACTACTGCTACTACTGATGCTACTGATGCTACTACTACTATTACTACTTCTACTACTGATGCTACTACTAATTCTACAATTGCAGCAGCTAATACTACTACTGCTGCTACTACTACTACCACTACTAGTACTACTACCGCCATTTCTACTACTACAACTACTACTACTACTACTACTACTACTACCATCACCACCACTACTACTACTGTTCCTGCTGCTGCATCTGTGACTGCTACTATTACTACTATTATTTCAACTACTACTACTACTACTACTACTACTACTACTACTACTACTACTGCAACTACTACTACTGCTATTACTGATGCTACTACTACTACTACTTTTATTACTACTACTACTACTACTACTACTACTAACATCACCACCACTACTACTACAACTGTTCCTGCTGCTGCATCTGTGACTGCTACTATTACTACTACTATTTCAACTACTACTACTGCTGCTGCTACTACTGATGCTTCTACTACAACTACTGCTACTACTACTACTGCTGATGCTACTACTACTAATGCAACTTCTACTACTGCTACTACTGATGCTACTACTACTACTTCTACTACTACTACTACTTCTACTTTTACTACTACTACTACTACTACTACTACTTCTACTACTACCATCACCACCACTACTACTACTACTGTTCCTGCTGCTGCATCTGTGATTGCTACTATTACTACTACTATTTCAACTACTACTATTACTACTGCTGCGACTACTGCTGCAACTACTACTACTACTACTATTGCTACTACTACTACTACTACTACTACTACTGCTGCTGCTGTTGCCACTACTACTTCTTCTTCTTCTACAGGGCCAGACAATCCAGTGATTGATATCATGAGCATCGATCTACGCAGTTGGCATTGTACCTATGTGGAGAATAGAACCGGCCCTTTTGGCAAGACGAGCCAAGAATTTAACCTCAAGGCTACCCAACCACACCGATTTTGACTTATTATCATTATCATTATTACTTCAAACCATAGTGTTTCATGTTTCATGAGCAAGGTCCGTTTAAGCAAGACGTTTCAACTCACCTTTGAAATTTGAAAACCCCAGATATTTGTTGCACAATGCTCTCCACGCCAGCTCAGAGAATAAGAGACATGCAAAGTGGTGATGTTGCACTTACCACATCCTCAATTAGGTCATAAACGAAAATCTAACGAGCCCAAATCGAGGACAGTTAAACTATAACGCAGTGAAACGGGACATCGAAACATACATTCCCCATTTCTCCACGTCCTTGCCTCGTGGACAAACATACCTCCATCCACAGCTGCAGCGGCATGGCGGGTAGCATACGCTGGGAGTAGGGGGTGGACGTACGGCAAGACGAAGTAAAACCCCGTTAGTCGGGAACCTTGTCAAACCGAAAACTCCGTATTCCGGACGCTTACGGTTGGGGCCGTCCATGTCATTAACGTAATTAACATGTTCAAATGACTGATGCGGCATAAAACAATAATCAGTCACTAAGCTCATGATTCAATTATCCGGGAAACCTGTTAAACCGGACAACTTCACTGGATTAACGAGGTTTTAGATGATTAGAGATTTTGAAAACTGTTAAACGAGAGAGTCTTTAAGCAATGTTATAAAGACTCCCATGTTAAACTAACTCCAGCACTTAGTGGACTGTTTCAACAATATGTTACATCCTCTTCTTATTTAAAATTATATGTGAACAAGATTTTCATTGAAAGCCATATAATCCACGGAATAGGTAAAATAAAGATGTGTGTGTCTTGTGTGTGTGTGTGTACGTGTGTGTCTGTCTGCGTATGTATATTAAAACTGAAATAGATATAAAACGTTTTATAATTTTGAGTTTTGGTTTCTAATATGTCCCCGGATTCCCCATTATTCTATTACCTCTGAAGTTGTTATGTTTGTTATTGGAACAGATAACATCACTATGTCATTAAACTGCAATTGTAAGTGATATTTTGAACCACCTATAAAAATGTACAATGTTGACATAATCATGACCCACATAGATGTAAAAGGTGGTTATATTAAAAAATGCATCAAATCATGCGGACCTCTAACAACCCCAGCCCCTTCTGACCTTGGACTTTTGTAGACACATTTAGTCACATACTTGCTAAAGGATGTGACAAGAGTAGCGCCCGGATGTAACTGTGGCTCTCTGTTATATATCATCAAGTGCATGTACTCTCTCACCCTCCTGACGACAATTATACAGTTTCTCCTTTAAATTATGCATAACCAGAGTAAGGGCCATTCTGCATGTCTGGATGGCCCTTAACATGCATTCATTTGACGTCATTGTTGGTGGCGCTGCTTTAATTGTTACTGTGTGAATAATAAAGTAAAATATATGAGTTTAGAGAGTAGGGGTTGATGCATCTCATCAATCATGGAATTAACCTCTGACCTCTGACATATAAGTATCATTAATTGATTATTGGATATATTATCGAAATTATATAAACTATGATTGTTTCTAAATGGTGACATAGTGTGAATCAATTAGACACAAATAAGGGAAACATCAGATTAAAGACAATGGTTTGACAGCTGGTTTGGGGTACCGTAAATCCTTGGTAAAGTGCCGGTTATTTCAAATAATTCAGAATGTCATTGACCATGACCTTGGCTTTATTCTCCGCATGCGTTTGTATCTTTCATTAATAGTTTGGAAATTTTTGAGTTTTGATATTTCTCCATTCGATGTTTCACAATTTTAAAGGGGACACAGTTTGATCAAATTAAAGGCAGTCATCAAGCTATATCCGAAGGCTGGAGGTAATAAAACAACACGTGACATACATACGTCACAAGGGGATTTATTTTTGCACACGACACAGGTATAACAGCTACCAATACGCATTTGATGAAGTTCGGCGTGACGAGCGAACGCTTTAACCACTGGGCTACCCGACCGCCCCTTCTCCTTTGAGATCTCTCTCCATCAGTATATATTTTATTTGATTTAAAAATTGTGGTTAAAATCGTGTTCCATTGTCTATTGCGAATCACCAATCGGCGCCAATTATCTGTTGGCTCCGTTGTTAAGTTTCCACCTTTGTAATCTTATTACTTTTGTTGTTCTTACAGGTACATATATATGCTCTCTGCATCCTACCATTCATTCACCGAAGCATATACTCCGAAACATTGTGTTCCTCATGGTAAGGGGGCACGGGTGGCCCAGTCATCTAAGGCGCCGCGATTTGCTGTGCAGAGTTACGTCCCTTGGGCACGCCAGAAACCTATGATTGTGGGTTCGAGTCCCTGTTCGCCCCGATTATGTTTCTAGGTTTGTCAGCACCATACCCGTGCTCGTGGGTTTCACCAAAGTGGTAAACGTCTGAGACCTGCATCACTTCCGGCTTTCCTCCCACATTAAGCTGACACGTCATGATATAACTGGAATACTGTTAAAAGCGGCGTTAAACCCAACTCACTCACTCCTCATAATAAAGAAGTTGACATCCTTAAATTCTCTTCCTCATGTGTCATTTCTAAATGCCTTTCAAAGACTTGATCCTGTTAAAATTATGCTTGAGTTTAAGGTCATTCGTGTCACCGCTGTATCATTGAACCGACTGAATGTGATGGCGTATATTGACAGCCCTTGCATAGGAATACATTTTGTGGCGTGACTTTAATCATGTAACTGTTAAAATATTTAACATAACTCAACGCAGAGTAGCATCTAACAAGTAGTTCGTCGATCAAGTGAGTGAGTGAGTATGGTTTTACGCCGCTTGCAGCAATATTCCAGCAATATCACGGCGGGGGACACCAGAAATGGGCTTCACACATTGTACCCATGTCGGGAATCGAACCCGGGTCTTCGGCGTGACGAGCGAACGCTTTAACCACTAGGCTACCCGACCGCCCTCGGAGAGAACCGGCCTACAATGCGTGACGAACCACCAGTTCAAACATTAGATGAATATCCTGAGAAATGGTAGACACAGTTTTCGCACACTCAGACACAGTATACCTACTCCGAGACGACAGACTTTGTTTTATCCCCTTAATTCCCAGCGCAAGACGGGTTACAGCGAGTACCATGTGTTATCGAATCTTGGTATGACGTGGCCAGGGATCGAACCACCGACCTTCGCTCTCCGGGCAGACGCGGTATCCACTAGACCCCGTAGGCGGTCCAGAAAATCTCGCTGTCAGCGTGTTCTGGTTGATAACATGGCGTCAGCACCGTGTAGTGAAGATACTCCCCGGATAAAGAAGTATGTCAGTGTTGTTTGTGGCAGATATACAATGCACACGTGATGTGTGGACGTTCGTCCGGTATATGTTTCTACGTCAGGAGACATTAAAATCAACAAGCCATGTCACATTTTTTTTCTGCTGTCTAGTACCTGGAAGTAAACATAATGTTCCTGCGTCATAGCAACGACGACACGTGGAATACATGCATACATTATCACTCTCATTGAGATACACCCCTGTTGACGTGAGGTCACGGTGTAAGTAAATGTTATAAACAAGGGCTTAGTATCCCAAGCATGTCAGAGAAGAAGAACGGTCTCCTTTGAGACATCACGCTATCCTTCCTCTCCGGCTCGTATTTTAATATGAGAATGATAAACAATTTCAGAAAGATGTCACAAAGGTTAAGACAAATATTTTGTTAAAGTGACGCGGTCCAATAAATTGGAATGTCTATGACGCAATTCCTACTTGCGTCCCAGTTACAAATGTCAAGGTTTTTACCGTCATTCCTCTTAAATAAACCTTGTAAGGAGACTGAGGTCCAGACATACACTTCTGCCTTGAAGTTCATTCCCCTTGGACGCCTGCATTAAGAGAATTTGTCAGTTGTGTTAAACTTAATAATTGTATTCTATGGTGACATATAAACATAAAACGTCTCATGTAAAGCATGTTTTTTTTGTTGGTTGGTTAACGCCGCACTCAGCAATATTCCAGCTATATGACGGCGGTCTATAAATAATCGAGTCTGGACCACACAATCCAGTGATTGATATCATGAGCATCGATCCACGTAATTGGGATACGATGACATGCATCAACCAAGTCAGCGAGCCTGACCACCCGATCCCGTTAGTCGCCTTTTACGACAAGCATAGTCGCCTTTTATGGCAAACATGGGTTGATGAGGACCTATTCTACCCCGGATCTTCACGGGTCTGTTCTTTTTGGGTTGTATTGAGTAACGCGATGGCATAACGGTTATAGTGTTAATTGCTAGTCTGTTTCTGCACCAATATTTCTTTCATCTTATAAAAACACAGTTTAGAAAATGTCAACTTATTATTAACAATTAACTGTAACCAAGGACATAATACCAACCCGACCTGCGTTTATTTATCCCTATCGTCATCATAGTAAACATCGTACTGATAACGGAATGACGCATCAGCTTAACACGTGTATGTGTGTTTTTATTCAAGTCAAAAAGGCCACTGGCCCACAGGACATACATTGTCAATATTAAAACAAAATAGTTAGTTACAATATACACGAGAGGAGTAAAACAATATATGTACATAACAATAAGCAATTATTGATGAAGTGTAGGATACAGTTTAAAAGCGAAAAATATTTTTTTACTTAAATCTAACAGTGTTTGAGGGCATTTGGAATTAATTAGCTTTACAAATGTTGTAACAGAAGGATGTTTATAATAAATAGGTTGAATATAAGATTCCCGGAGTTGAGAGAAGGCTTTGCAGACAAGTAAAAAATGATATTCGTTTTCAGTTACATCTATTCCATAACGGCTACAGTATGAACATAATCTGATTTCTTCATCCAATCCAATTCTTCGTCCAAGTTCAATCATTAAATTATGGCATCCGCATCTAAATCTTGATAGTGCTTGTCTGTAAGTCCGTAAATTGATATGTGTAAGATAAAGTTCGACATTTAAAACAGATCTGTAAGTAGAGTAGGAAGATAGTTTAGACACACGTGTATGTGTTGTATATACAAAGGTACTTTTATCCTACAGCACAGAAAATCGTTACCCCGACTATAACCAGTGGATGGGTGTGTATGTGATGGCCTACCCGACGCTCGAGCAGGTGTTACTTTAGATTAGCCTCTCCGCCACTCGGGGCCTTTGGTGACAAGAGCCCCTTTTTAGGACAAGTAACACGTTACCACAGAAATTATCGGTAACCAGAGAGGTGCAAGGGTTGTCTGTAATATTTTCATTA